TTGAAGTCTGCATGGGAAGCAAAAGTTTTTATTTCATGATTTTATTGGTCAAGGTGATCTGGTATTTATAGAGCATATATGTAAAAAGGATTAATGCTTTTTCTCTACTATTTGTTTAAAAATATAAACAGTTTATTGTTGTAACTTTATACACTTTACATATTGGTTTCTTCACTGCAGTCCCTGAAAAATAGTTCTGAGCAGATTTTCAGTCCTTTTAAAAAGTTGAACTGTCCAAAAAAAAAAATTGTCTCGCAATTTCCACAATGCAAATAAATATAAACAGTAATAGTTTTATTGAACTATTTCTGTTCACTAGAACAGTAATAGTTCAATAAAATAAAATATTTTTCAATTACATTTATTTAAAACTTAACATCTGTTGAAATAAGAAAAAAATTCTGAAAAGAATTAACTGATTATGAGTCTAATAAAAAAATGCTTTCAGTAAAAAACCTACAGCTATTTTGTGTCGCTTGGGCAGATGAGATGGTAGGCCACGAGAAATTGGAGTCTTAATTTCTCTTGGGATGTCAGATATGAAACTTGAATTTGCCCTTCAAAGAAGTGACCAATAATAACTTTTAATCAATAAAAAAAAAAACGGATAAATTGCTGATATCAGTGGTAAATGGCAAAACAGAAAAACGCAAACAAAAGTCTTGCAGCCAATGACCCAGGAGAACAACAGGTGGGTTATCAAACACACTTATGAGGATTATGAGGATCTGTAATCCAACTATAGATTCCTCTCGTGTCAGCTGACAAAACTGACAAAGACTACTAGATAGGTGTTAAAACGTTTGCAGAAAAACTGAGCGAAGATCTACTTGTCTCTTTAATTTAAGCCTAATCACTATTAGACTTATTACAGCTGTTAAGCGCTAAAGTATTGGTGTGAAATCTTTTACATACTTGGTGGAGGAAATCATTACATATTTGAAAATTACATTTTATAAAAAGCACAGAGAAACACAAAGTTGATTAAAAGGTGGAAAGTCCTGGCAATAAGATTCCTGCTTCAATGCAGGAGAAACTTTGGCCTGTAGTGAAACTAGAAGGAGATGTTCATGAAGGAATGCCCCATTGATTTTAAAGTTCACATCTTAGCTGCAATGTCCTTTAGCTCAAGTCTGGCTTCACCTAATCCTCATCTCTTTCTCTCTCTCTCCCTCTGTTTCTTCCTACGTCTCTCTCCGGAAGTTAAAGGGCTAGTCAGGCCTGATTAGAATGCAGAGGAGGAAGGCTCTGCTGCAAATTGAAAACATATTGATTCTCCTCATGCTTTCAGGCAGAAGGGGCAACAGACAGAGGGAAAAAAGGGAGATGGACAGGAGGAAAATGAAAGAAAATCCAGCGGGGGAACAGAGTGGTCTCAGCAGTTTCCTTGTATCAGTCGCCACAAATTTGTGTGCCTCCTCTCCAACATATGCAGACATGCATGATTTAGATTTGAAAATAGCAACCTCCAGATTCAAAACACCAATATTGGGATATTTTCTTGACAATAATTTGCACAGATTTGCAGTCCTACTAGCTCTGTTTTCTTTGCATGTGAGAGCATGCTGACATGTCCAGCTGATGTGGCAAGAGGCTACATGAGTCCAATAAGAGAAGACAGCGCATAACCCGTACAGATGTGCTGACTGCACAGTTTCCATGGGAACAAATCTACCCCACCCTTCCACCAACCCATCACCTTCACCACCACCAGCACCAATGCTCCTCATTGCTGTTGCTAAAGCCTGACAAGCTCATTTAATGCTTCTCGTTTTTTTCTGTATGTGTGTCCAGGAGTTCTCCCATCAGCTGTGTCTCAGCCTGTCTAGTTCTTAGAGTCCATGTGAAGTGTTTGTTCATCTGTGTAAAAACTATTGAGGGTGCAATGCTTGTCTTACTCTTTAATCAAGGAAGAAGGAAAAGACAGGGTAGTGAGTTTGCTATGGCTGTTTTTGTGCTGGAGCCATAAATAAATCCACATTACAAATAAAACGTCTTCATTGTACGGTATAATGGTAAACTGCTTAACAGAAATGCATGGACTCTATGCATCTGGGATATAGATAAGCTACCATAAAGGACAGAATGATAAAAATAAATAAACAAAAAAATTTTTGAGTAAAAACTGCCACCCTGTGTTTGTTCAATGTAACGGCATTTTGTAAGGGTTATATAATTGCATGCATTGTATTATCCATTGCAACTATACATGTGTTACCTCTCATAGTAATTTGAGTATATTCATAGGAAATATAACAGAGAAGATTTAACAATAATTAAATACCGCATAGGAGATTTTAACCAAAATGTTCTTGCAGTTAGTGAACAATTTGTTAATGTAATATTATTTAACTTGATATTTTTCTAGCATGTTGCAATCTCTTTGCAACTTTCCGGGTCTGGATAAATATTAAACGCAAATAACGCTAGTGATAAAATAAATTAGTTTATAATAAAGTTCCAGGTTGATGCACTGACAACAACATAGACTAACGGAAGGATTTTAAAGTTTATTCTCTGATGGGCAGCAGAGTTTTGGATCAGCTGCAGCTGTCTGATGGAACATTTTGGGCAAACCTATGAGGACACCGTAGCAATAATGAATTCCACTAAAGATAAATGCATGAAGAGTTTTTCTAGATCCTGCTTGGACATTTGTTCTTTTTTATCCTGGAAATGTTCCTCAGGTGATAAAAGGCTGACTTAGTAACTACCTTTATGTGCCTCTGAAGGTTCAGGTCTGAGTGTCATGATCTTGGCAGTGATTATTGATTGATTTCATCCACCTGCTTAGCTCCGCCCAGTTTTCGTTTTCACTCATCTGATCCACCTGTTCCAGTTCCTATTTAAGTTGCTTGTTTCCAGCCATCAGTGCCAGATTATTTGAGCTGTGTGAGATTCCAGTTATCCGGTCCCAGCTTACGAGCCGAAGACTATAGAGCAATCAAATGTCTTGTTTGAAATCACTTCTGTTCTGTCTGCCTGAATTCTGGGACCTAAAATCTGAGCCCTGACACCAATATTTCAACCATAATTAGTGGTTTCCAGCTGGAGCTGTGACCTAACTCTGGATCTCTCCTCCTTTGCTCTGAAAATTACCTAAGTTTTGTTTTTATTCAGTTAGAGAAAATGATGGCGCATCCACTTATTGATCTGTTCCTAAGCATCTAACCAACACTCTGATGGGTTCATAGTGACCTGGTGACATTATGATGTAAAGCTCTGTTTCATCTGCATAGTTATGCAAACTGATGTTGTCTGCCATAATCTGTTCTAAATGGAGCATATAAAAATTAAATACCAGGCGCCCCAGAATGGAGCTTTGACGAACTCTGCATAGGATTTTTTTTTCTGGTCTCTGACTGAAGTCCCTGTCCTTCAGGTAGGATTTAAACCAGTCCAGTTCAGTACCAGAAAGCCCAACAGAGTTTTCCAGATGCTCTAATAAAATCAGCTGATCAGCAGTATCAAATTTGACTCTAAAACCATAGGTAAAATCTGTGGGTAAAACATCAAGATGCAGGAGGAGGAGCTTAGGAGCAGAACAATTTATATAAACCCATGCTGTTTTATTAGCCTGAATTTATGCATTTTAACAGAGTTTATTTCAACTGGTAACAGTATTGTTACTGTAGTTGATGTACAGACTGCTTTTCAAATACCTTGTATTTTCACAGTAAAGAATCTTGCAAAGTCGTTGCAGAATTTTTTAGATTGAAGTTGGGTTAGAGCAATCTACAGTCAAGTCTTTGTTAAAAATAAGGAGGAAGGAGAAATACTCTTCTGTTTGAGAAAGCAGTTTTTTTTTTTATCATTATTCAAGGTTCATCTCAGTAGGTCATTGTGATTTGCTCATCATACTGAAGAAATGTGTAAATAACAATCCATTCCAATTTATTGATGTAGTACATGTTTCCAATGTGCCGCACATACAGACAAAACAAGATATGGGGAAGTGAAAAGTGACTGAGGAAGGGATAATTTGACTGTGGCATAATTTTGCTCATTTTGATTGTAATTTTTGTTGGAGAACATTAGATAGTTCAGACCTTTTGGGGGGCTAAAGAAAAGGATGGTGTGGGTGCTAGAGGAGGGATGGTTTAAAATTGGTTAACAATTGAACACAGGCATGCATCACTCTGGTTGATGTAGTCATAGGCGGTTTTAGACAGGGGCCAACGGGGGCCAGTGCCCCTGTAAATCATATCCTGGCCCCTGTTATGGCCCCTGTAATTAAGAAATAATACTTAAAAGAAATCCTAATGATGATATCCGCTGGAACATACATAGTTACTGATAGGTCCTTTGAGTCTATTTCATTTTTTTTCTTTATAAACTATGTTTTACTAATTATTTAAAAACAATAAGGTGATAGCTTCAGTGGTATTGAGATAGGATCCCAGTTTTCATCTGCTAAATGTTTAAAAAATAAATAAATTTTTACAGCTGAATTTATAAGTTTTTCTTGAGTTCTAACTCAGATTTTATAGAAAATGATAAATTAAGTGAAGAATATGTAAAATTCCTAAATTATGAATGTGTATTGACATCATAAGAAATAGAATTGTTTTAAACCTAATTGAATAGAAATTTCACTTCATGCAGCTATCTTAATATATTTGAAACCCTTGCCCTGTTTTTTATTTCATGCTTTTCTGTGCCGCCATGAAATCACACTGGCCCCCTCCTGTAAATTTGGTCTAAAACCGCCACTGGATGTAATTTTTGACACAAGTATACAACTGAGCATTTTTTTTTTTTTAGACATATGAGACAGAGAGGAAAAAAAATAAGTTTAGTAGCCTGGAAAGAAAAAGTACAGGAAGAGAAACAGAAATACTGATTTGTGGAAAAGACATCAGTGGAGTAAAGAGTTCATCGGTGGCTGCGAAATTCAATGAGAGCAATGCGGCCATACGCCTTTGTTGTCTGTGAGGCGGTAAAGCAACTGAGTGGAGACCATCGGGTAAAACACAGAAGAAGAAGAAGAAGAAACAGAAGGCGGAAGAAGAAGCTGGGGGGGATTTTACGACGTTTGCAACAACATAGAGCTGTCACAATTTTCGGCAACGAAAAGAAACCGTGGAGAAGCCCTCTCATGAGGTAAAATTGTACGAAAAAAAGGTACAAACATCTTTTAAAAAAAGTTTAAAATTCAATGTCATGTTATCCTTCACTTTTCTTGTGGTTTTGGTGCCGAAATGTGAATTTTCATGTTTGTGCATGCGTACTTTAAATGAATGCTTTAGGTAAAAACACGGCATTTCAGAAATTATATTTCAGTTCCCCCTTTATAGCAAACATTATTATAACCAGGTTCTGTTATATCAGATTTGTTCGGCTACATTAATCATGTTTCGGTGTAAGAAACGTACATCTGTGTTCGCCTGTCTCTACTCAGGTAATGCGTGTTGGAGTCCCGAGTGGAGAGAAACTGCAGAGAGGATCTTACAAAGCTGTGATTTTGGTGAGTGTGGATTCTCCGAATGCTTGAATGTAACCATAACTGGCTACAGGGATGGCTTATTTAATGTGATGGAAACTTGTCATTTAGATTTCTTCTGTTTCTAGACACTGAAGTCTAGGAGATTCTAATGTTGGGCAGAGATAGCCTGAGTCAATGCAAACTTTGTTTACAAATGACAATTATTATATATTATGGTTAAAATAAGCTATTCAAATCAGTTCAGCCTATTTGACTTTAGTCAACTATCTTGTCTAGAATTAGTTTTAATAAAACCAAAGATCTGAAAACCAAAAGTAGACTAAACTTTATTTATAACTTGGGGTTCCAGTAACTTATATAGGGTACAAAGAGTTAAAGCAAGATGCCATTAAAGATAAAATAAATAAAGAAATACGACAGACTATATAAAAAAGAGTGTATTGAGTGCCAAAAAAAAAAAAAAAATAGTTGTAATGTCCTCGAATATGTTTCCCTTAGCTAATAAAAAACATCTGCACATGGAGAGCTAAGATTACACTGTAGTTGACTTGGATTGTTGCACTTGCAACACAGAGACGAAATGACCTTATAAATAAGTAAAATAATTGCTCAGGCTATACAGTAGTTGGCATCTGTAATTGCAGTGAGAGAAAAGAATATTGCAGATGAGTTACTATAAGCAGTGTTTTGCATAAGATGTCCAAGGAGGGGGGTGCTGACCCTTGTCCATCTTCCTATCCCCTCCTCCTTTCCCCAAGTGAGGAGTTGTACAGCTTGATGGCTTTGGGTTTAAGTAGGGGTTAAGATCTCAAATGGCATAATGCCATGCCTTGGTCTATAGAAATTTAAGAGCAGATCAGAAAGAGTCGCTAACATCCGTCGGTCAAAATAGGTTTAAAAGCTGTCTACTCATCCAGAAAGAGACAAAAGAACCATGGACATCTATGCAATGCAAGTCCCACTTGCCTTACTTCAGGAAATAGTTTATTGTTCAAAAATAAGAAACCAACAGGCGAGAATATAGGAGAACCCACGCTAAAATAATTACTTTTAAGAATCACATTTGCATTTTGATGATCCCCAAGATTGCTATGGAAATATGAAAAAGTGGGACAGTTTGAAAGATGTTTGTAAAACTCAAATTTTTTTTTTTTCCCTTTTGTAAACCATAATAATTACAATCAAAAATAAAGGTGGCAGGACGATGCTGCAGAATCAGGGAGATTTTTGCTGTTAATGAAATTATTAAATCTGCCCTACAGGAAATTTTGAAGAAGCGATATCTGGCCTGTAGTCTGTGACCTTAAACTCAAACATGGTTGAATTATGCTGTAGTATATAACTTTATAGTCTTGCTCTTATTTCCCCTTTTTTAGACTGTGCTCCTGAGTGTGTTTATGTTCCAACTGCTGAGGATTGTTGGATTGCGAGCGTTCTCCATGGCATCTGAGACGTACATATCAGGAACACACTCTGCAGCTTTTGTCACCTGTCCAAATGATACCGTTGCTAAAGACTTGGCTAGGTAATACTCTGCTCATATGTATAGTATGATAATTAAAGCATTGGTCTTGGAGTGAGTAATTCATAAAAATGCCCTCTACTATTTTATTCACCATTGAATTTTTTTTTAGAGCATAACCCTATCTTAAGACGATATGTTGCATTTTTAAAAATCTTTTTTGATATGCATATTTATATTTATGTGTGCACTAATACTTTTGTCCTTTACACCCCAGGGGTATTGTGGAAAGGAAACTGGCTGCATGTGTGAACATTGTCCCAGCAATTAAATCTGTGTAAGTTTTAATCTAACTGTTCTTCAGCTTTTGAGAAGTAAACATTTTCCTAACATATTTTTCCCTCTTTTTCCAGATAATAGTTACTGAAACTTAGAACTGTCTTGTTCTTTAATCATTGGCACAAATAAAACAAAACAAAAAAAAGACAAAATTATGTTACCATATTTGCCTTTTTCAGATATGAGTGGCAGGGAAAGATTGAAGAGGACAACGAAGTGCTTCTTGTGAGTTTGAAATGATTCTTATTGAATATCAACACCTTAATTCAACCTCAATTACATTGCTGTTTTAAGACATTTTTACTGTCACAAAATATTTAGATTTTATGCCAGACTAATAATGTAGTTTAGAATGTTACCTCAAACCTGATTAAGAGCTGCAGTTATAGATAATTTAACTAGATGAGTAATCCGAGGACTATCATAGTAGTCCTGTACTTTTTTCAGTTTTGGAAAAATACCTAGAAACATAATTGAAATGTTAAATTCCCTCCTTTACTGTTATGTTTGCTTACATTAGTTAAGAATCTCAAACTATAATAAACCCGCTGTTATTAGATCTTTCAAGATTTAATTGATAGAAACTGAGTAAAAGCCTAGATATGGACATTACATAAGGCTGGAAAACGTTATTCAGCTTTAGGTTATGCTCTCTAGTTTTACTCTGCATTGTCTAAAAGAGCATTTTGTCAAATCTCCCATTTAGATGATCAAAACAAGAAGCTCCAAAGTGGCTGCTCTCGCTGAATATGTCCGGTAGGTTTTTTCTTTTAGTTCAGTCTGACGATAGCAAACATGCTACTCTGATCTAACGTAACAAGATAATTATGTTTCCCATCGAGCCCATTAGCTGCCGTCATCCATGCAGTCTAAGAGTACGACTTTAAGCACTGGTGTTCACGTGAACCGTCTGTGGAGTGCGATGACTTGATGTTTCTTGCTTTCTCTCGCCAGCTCTAATCACCCCTATGAGGTGGCCGAGGTCATCAGTCTACCGATTGACCAGGGCAACCCACCTTACCTGAAGTGGATTGGAGATATTGTACCCGAGTAGACAGATGGCTAAATCAAAAGGAATGTGATGTGACATATGGCAAACCACATAGTGTTTTAGAAAGTTATTCTGCTGCAGTTGCAGAAAAGAAAGATGAAAATAAAAGACATGAAAGATTTTTTTTCTTTATTGCAGCCTTTCTTTAAGTTTCAGATATCAAACATGCATTCCTCATGGCTACAACTAGAGGGCGGTATTTGTCTTCTATTCAACAGCTAGACAAACCAGCCAGAATATTTCTTGCCGTCTGCTTGGGTTGCATTTGAAACACTTTTCCAAAATAAATGTTTGTGTTTTTACCTTCTGTTTGCTTCAGTGTACGAGTTTCAGAATATTTCAAGTGACAAAGTATACAACACAACCTTTATTAGGTGAAATGCAAACACTAAAAACAGTCAAGATTTCATTCTTTATCAATTTTCACACAGAATTACAAATATATCTTTATATATAACATTTATGTCATGGTTTTGTAACGTCTTTAATAAAGCATATATTACATATTCCAATACGAAATACAACACTAATACAGTGACCATTGCATTGACATAATTTAAGTTACCCAGGCAATAAGAGTAAAATTCTCAACACTTAAATGCAGTTTCTGCTCCTTTATCTCCAAATAATCATGCAAAACATTAAAGGCATGCTACTGCAATGTAACTGAACAGATTCAACTTGAAAGGAAACTTAAGAAGTACTGTTCTGATGACTTTCTGCTTTGACTTTCCTTTCTAAAAGGTGACAGATTATTTCATTCATTTTGGTCAATATATGACTTTGATATAATAATGCTTAAGTCTAAATACCAGAGAATGTATAGATTATGCTTCATAAAAAGCCCAAATGATATCTGTTTGAAGCCTGCAGAAGGCATTTCCATTTCACAGTAGGTCATTAACTGGCATCTACCACAGGGGAACTGATTCATGCAGCGAAAAAAGCCATTTCAGATGTTCCTTGTTTAAAAAAGTTGAAATTACCTTTAGAGTACCAGCAATACACACTGATGCTTTTGGAAATAATGCGTTTAAAAAAGCCCTTCCTATCTAAATGTGAGTTTTAACCCTTATGAGCCTCTTCTGTGAAGAAAATTGAACCTGGCAGTCTGATGAGAACATGGTTGCATTCTCTAGTGATTTTTAAAGTCTAAGCAAACATAAAGACAAAAGCATTGGGAAATACTTACATTTTCCATGTCTTGAACAGTTAAACATTTACATGTCAGTTCTAGCTCTGATTTACAGTCTGACATTCCAACTTTTATGGTTTTTCAAAATGAATTGTGACACAAACGTTTCCATCAATACAAATAAGTTCTAAAGCAAACTGGTATCACAGAGAACTTTAAAGAAATGTACAATGGAAATTTACAGAGGCCTTATTGTAAATAGCTTTATCATCTTTTACAGATAGCTGATATCGAGCACAGAGTTTTTTTCCAGGACTTTCTCGGTTTGTGAGTTCCTGTTTCCACTTTTATTAGCCGTAGAATGAGGAACATCAAAATTATCAACACCTGAAGTTAGTTCAGGAGTAGCTTTCGGCATAATATGGGCTATAGTTTCTTCTTCTGCTTTGGAGTTGTATCCCTTAAGTGACAAGCTACCTCTTTGTCTCATTGGCAAGCCTCCACCTGCTCCAGACACTTCCTCCAGGACGTTGTTTCCACCACAGTATTTCCCATGTGTGTTGCCGATTCTTTTCTGTGTCAGGAGCACGATGCCCCCCCACTCCTCTGTGGGCCGCTGTGCCTCAGTGGCAGCCCTGTCATTGTTCTTCACCTTGCGTGAAGTGCGGCACAAAGCCTTTCTGAAGCCTCTCTTGAAGTTGTCTGACAGAAAACCGTACAGTATTGGGTTGGCACAGCTGTTTGCATACGAAAGAACGACAACAAAATAGTAGAGTCCTCTGAAGTCTCCAGGCAGGACGACGAGGAGGTTCAGAATGTTGAGAGCATAGAATGGCAGCCAACAGAAAACAAACACTGCAACAACAACCACCACCATTCTGGTGATTTTTCGCTCTGACCTTCTGCGTCTGGAGGATGTGGTCTGGGTCCGCCTCCCTACATTCCTCACCTGGAAAGAAGGAACAAAAAAGACAATGAATTGACTTCTGAAAAACACTTGACCGACACAAGCAAATAAGATGCTTCTACAAATCATCTCTGATGATGTGGCAGTGACTCTGGATTACGGCTTGGGGATATAGCTTAAAATATAATCTCTGATTTCTTTCTACCAAATTTGACTTATAATAGAAGGTGAGAAATTACATGAGATACTTTAATAAGATAGCTTTTATTTCAATAATTTCCTCTGTGAGTTGACCTTGATTTAATGGGCAATGAAACTCAAGCTGTAAATCATTATTTTTAAGGCAAGTTTCATAAAAAAACCCAATGAAAATATAACATGCTAAATGTTTACAGCTAATGCTTTCACAGGGGTTAGTTTATCAGTTATTAGAAGTAATCTAAGAACAATAAACAATGAAATGATGTCAGTCTGAGCTATGGTAGCCCAAGGAGTCTATTGGTGGAGAAAATCCAGATTTTCTAAAAATGTAATCTTCATAAATAGAAAAAAAATATTCATCACCCAGCCCTACTCTAGATTATATGTCTCTTTAAGGTGGCTCTTTATTTCCAATTCAAATGCAAAATTTACTTTGTTACTAAAACCTGGATTCCTCTCTATGATCATTTTAATCAAAATTAACAAAAATAAAAGCATTTGAAGTATAAAAAATGTTTGTATGTCTATACATAGCATTAGAAATGCTCGAGAAAATGTTTTATTGACACATTACACTCAGGCCAAGACTTGGTCAAATGTCCTTCATAATTACTTCATTGGTCCTAATCTTATGTCCTTGTAATGACAATTCTGATTTTAAACAGTGTCCAAATGCAATGTTGATAGATTTCTTTCTTTTTTTTTTTTTTACTATTCATTAGGACACCTTATAATGCTTATAAACCTTTGTTTTTTGAATTATGTATCTTTATCTGCTGCTGTGGTTTAAAATTCTGTCTCTAAAAGAAATACATATTCTAATAATGTAAGTTTGCATTTAGTTTGAGTAAAATAGAGATCTAGTTTTCTTAAAGGCATTCTAATGCAGCATGACATACTTTTCCAGTTACTCCTCAGTCTACCCTTGTGAAAGTAAAATCTTAGTGATAATCTAACTGATATGATCTGTTTGCAAATATGACTGCAATCTTTTCTATGTAGGATTTTGCTTGCCAAGTCAAGATCAATCATTTTTAATTTTAGTCCAGAATATCACTCTATAATGCTTGCATTCAAAACTCCTGCTTTCTCCTAAATATTCGCTATTCAGCGCTTCTTACACAAATCATTTCTCCTCCTGCTTGCCTTCTTTCTCCTGACACGCAAACGTTTTCTCTCCTTGAGTCAGAAATGCGCTTGCACACCTCTTGTTCTTGCATGTGGATTGCAAGCTGAGTGAAATCCTGCTCTCAAACTGAAAATGTGTCCTCTTGACTTGGCAGGAAGTGTCACCCGTAGTACCACACTTCACTTTGTTTTGCTTTTGTGCACCTGTGCTAGAGAACAGAACCCATTGATTTATTAAGATAATTTTTGTACTGAGGTAAAATACAGCCTGAAATTGGATCAAATTAGGGATCCTTTCACGAGTTTCCTTTAAAATGAGGTAAAAAATTATGTAAAACCTAGATTTTAGGTTAAAGACGTCTTAGTATGTTAGATCTTAAATTATCCAAAGATGCTCTACATTTCCCTCATAAGCCTCTGGAAATTCTGCTGAAGTTTCTACTGAAGATATATATCTATATATAAGACCTGAACGTTTCTGCATTTCTAAATGTTTAATTACACTCAACACAAAGTAATACCTTGATGATGATCAGTAGGTAGCATAAAGAGATGACAAGCAGCGGGCAGAAGAAGCCAACAGTGCATGTGTACACAATAAAAGATGTCTTCCACACTTCTGCTGGTTCAGGCCACACGATGCTGCAGTTTCCATCGTCCTTCAGCACATCTGCAAAGACCACCACTGGCAACACCACCACAAAGGACACCAGCCATACTGTGGCACTAATAGCCTTTGCCACGTGGGGGCGTCGCCACCAGGAGGCCCGAATGGGATGAACAACTGCCAGGTACCGATCAACTGACATCACAGTGAGACAGAATATGCTGGTGAACTGGTTGAAGGCATCTACTGTCATTACAACACGGCACATCAGTGAGCCAAAGGGCCAAGAGAGGAGGGCATTTTGCACCGCCAGAAAGGGCAAACCTAGCATAAAAAGTTCATCTGCGATTGCAAGGTTGAGGATGTAGATGTTCGTGACTGACTCATTCTTTGTGTAGTTCACAATCACATGAATGACCAGAGTGTTTCCCACTAACCCAACGATGCAAACTATCCCATATATAAGAGGGATGAAAACCCCTGCCAACCCTGGAAGGGACGTTGGTATATCTTTAGTAGTGTTAAAGCAGCTGCTGTTAAAGAGGAAGGAATCTTCAGCTTGGCTGATGCTGGGAATCGACTCATAGGAAACAGTAGAAAGCAAAGGATGGAAATATATCAGGACCGAACTGTTGTTCCAGGCAGTTGTGGTTTTGTCCTGTGGCACTAAGGAAACCTGGGTGGCCTGGATGAGCTCCATGGAGGTTTTAGAAAATATCACACATTAGTCAAGCCTGTAGGATCCCATCCCTGACACACCAATAGCCCTAAAAGAAAAGAAGAAAACAATATTTAGAATATGGAGAACTCCAAGAGACCTTATGTTGGTTTTCTTGTTCTTTCACAGTTATAAAACATAAAGTCATAGAACTACTTTTATTCCCAACTCATTACACATTGCTTTTTTTCTATGACAAATAAGCATGTTCATCTTTATATTGCATAGCAGTTACATGAACTTCAGTGTTTGGATAAAGAGTACAACATAAAGAGTCAGATAGCTTAAGAATAAAAGTTAATATTTACCACACACATTGGCTGTTGACTAATGTGGTCTAGACTGCAAAATCCAATAGCTGTCAAGACTTACTACTGTACATATAAGTTACCTTAACCAGGTTAGCAACAATATGTTATTATCACTTATATTTATGAAGTAATGGTCATTGTGCTGTGAAAAAATCATAATACTTTGAGTTTAAAGTAAACATTCCTTTATTTAGAGCTTACTAGCAACAATAAATCACTCCCACTACTCTAATTCAGAGGTTGGTGGTAATGCACATTTAAAAAGTAACTAAATCTAATGAAGACGTGTTGTAAGTTTATTGTTGATTTTACAGTTTGCTGTTTGCGGAGTTCATTGCAGATGAAAATAAAAAGATACATTTACTCTTTTTAATATTACTTCAGAACATTTTAGACGATTGGAAACTGATTTTCATTTATGCATAGATTTTTTAGACATTTAACACTTCTGGTCAAGAAAAAATAACCTTGAAATGCTGTGTAGGACAGGCTGCACAGTGGAATGGCCTGTAACACTACTGCCTTGCAGCAAAAAGATCCTGGGTTTGATTCCCAGCCCAGGACCTTCTTTCTCTGTTCTTCCCATGCATGCATGGTTTCACTCCAGGTACTCCACCATCCTCCAACAGTCTAATAGCATGACTGTTAGGTTAATTGGCATCTCTATAGGTGTGAGTGTGTGGACTGGCAACCTGCTCACGGTGTACCCTACCTTTTGCCTATAGACTGCTGCAACAGTCCTACCCTGACCAATTAAGTAGCATGAGATGAATGGATGGACTAAACAGTACATTTTCCAGTCATTTAGTATATTAACATTTTTATTCTGAGTACTTCTCAATTAGTCAAAGTAAATACTATTTGATTATTTCTATAGTTAAACAAATATATTAGTGTATTTTACAAATAAAGCTCTAGTTGGCACAACCTAATACAGTATACCTAGTTCACTGTACTTATCCTTCTAAGTGCAACTGGTTTACATGCTTTTTTGAAGTAATAATAACTAATTGGAGTTTACATTGAAAGAGCAATTACTTAGAAAACAAAGCTTCTAGTACATTGCTGTCAGTAAATGTCCAAGAGTGCATACAGCATAGCATAAAATGAGATGCAGCACTTACATGGAGGTGTATGGCATCACTGAGTAGCTAACAGGGAAAAAGCAGAGCTAGTAACAAAAGAGGAATCTCTCAGACTGTATGTCTCAAAGGACCTGAGTTGAACTGTGAACAACTCCAACATTATTAAAGAGCTTTCATCTAATAAAATCAACTAATTTGTGCTTTTATCTATGTCAGTGCTATTCCTCAATCAATATTATGCCCAAAGTGGTATTTTACACGCAAGTGTAATCCTCATAAACTCTGCTACCTAAGCAGCAGTCCCTCTCTGTCCTGGAAACAAGTGGCCATAACTGTTTTAAGTAGGACAGTGATTACCCACTGAGAGAGGCTGGGGTAAAGTGAAAGCAAGTGTCTTCAGGGTTCGAGTTAAAGAACTTTTACCCCTGCAAAACAGAGAGCACTGAATCAGAGAGGAAATAACTGCAGCAGTCTGGATCAAGGATCATTGCCTCCAACTTTCCGTCATAAAGGAGATCTACTCACTTAATCCACTTAAAGGCTTAATCAAAACTTTAAAACTAGAATGCATTAGCTGAAATACATACATTGCATATTTTTTATCTGATGTATAACCTATACCTCATTAGCCTTTCAATAAAAACAAAACAAGTTACTCTAAACATCATAATTAGAGAATATTTATTTAAAGAAACCAAATATTTGTAGATAGCATGGCTGATGAAGACAGATTATGTCAACCACAAAAAAAGTTTCAAGAAGTTTGCTGTTGTTTCTTTATAGTGTCCTGCAGCATACTAAAATGTTGATCAGTTACACCAGCCCTCCTTCTGTCACAACAAAAACAAAGCAGCCACGACACAAAAACACAGCGTACTTGGTCCTATTAGCAAGAGGCTTGTTTATAAAGTCATCCTGGTTTCTTAATAACTACCATGCCACACACAGGCACACTCTCATCCCTTACAGCAACAGCTAATAATTGGTCCTGTGTTAGAAACAGAATGCACTGACCTATGGAGAAAAAAATAACACGACCCCCACAACCTTAGCTGCATGTAAATATGGGGTGAAAACACAAAGGAGAGGAGAAGATGAATTAAAAAGTGGGAAACAGGAAGAGATTAGTGGAATTATTAGAATTATAAACAAGGAAGTGAATTTAAAGTAAAATATATCGACTTGAAACAGTAATATTTACTAAAGTGTGACCAACATAATTATTGAGATAAAAATGATTTCATCATTAGAAATATTAGATTAGAATTAGAATTAGAAATATTAAACGTTGCCAAAAGCAAAAGCATCTTACAGTTAAAAAGCTTAATAAAAAATACCTTCTGCCGTAATTTATTGTAATATTCATCTCCTTGTGTACAATTTGCAATGCGGACAGAAAAAAAAAACAAAGTCTGTCTCATCTCCTGGTCGTCCACTGTTCCTACCATGCGGAGTCCTCTGGGTTTTTGGCTCTATATGTGGGGAGGTTCAGTTTTTATCTCAGTAAGCCTGGCTCCAGGGAGGAGACCAGTTTAAAGTCCTGCATCAAGTTCTGGTTCCACGTCCTGTCTCGGCTACCCTCTTCCACTGAGCCTGCTCAGCTGCACCTGATCCTGTCTACTCCTTTGCGTGACCACCTGGTCACGCTTTCGGACCCTGTCAGACTCTGAACCCTCCTGGGAGCCTGTGGATGCCTGGAAGTCTGGATCCTGCCACCTGTTCTGTTCCTGCCTGATCTGGATCCTGTTCCTGTCTGTTCCTGTCTGTTCTGGATCCCTGACCAGGATCGGCTTCCAGCATGTCCTCCCCTAGCTCTGGGGACATTCTTGGACTGGACTGTTAAACCAGGTAAGTGACCAACTCAGATAATCATCTTCTGTCAGATGATCGTGGTCACTTACCTGTGTTTCTCCTACAGAGAGTCAGAGATTGGGCGGTGCCCTGACCCCCTCCTGCAGTATCCGAGAGCCACAGCTCCACTTTAGTTTAGTTTTTGTTAATTTAATAAACTTTTTTGAACTTTCCTAATGACTGTCTCTCCTTGAATACTGGGTCCATCTGTACTCGGTTCATGACATTTATTAGTTAATTAGTTACTCTTTCCCCATTATTTTAAGGAAAATCACTGAGATGCAAAATACATAGCTGCCCTCAGTCTAAAAACATTTTATGCTATTTTAACATGAAAAAAAAAATGCTGAAAAGAACCTACTTTGTCATTTAATTTCTGTTGTTTTTTTTTCTTTTTCCAATACAAGATTAGAAAGAATTTCATATATATTTCATAAATAAATAATAATATTTCATTATTTTAGCTAAGGAACTAAACTTCTTTAAAAAATACTCAGCTGTAACAACTAACAGCAAAAAAAAAAATACATATTTTAGTTATTGATAGTTTCATAATCATTGCTTTCTTTGTTGCCATAAAACTATTCTGAGTTGTAACAAGAAATTTGTGAATGTAATTGATTATCTTGATATAGCTGAGGAGGGTGGGCAGGATGTGGGTGCCTCATTCGATCCAACCTCTCATGACATATTTGCTTAAACAATGTGATGAACAATATTCCCAAATGAGTCACTGGTGGCTGTGGGGCTTGGAACAGGAGTGATGAAAGAGCAGGGACGACTGATGTGATAATTAGAGGAACTAATGAATCTTTTTAAAAAATGGAGAAAGGGAAGGGTGCATCAATCTGACTAAAGCAATATAAAAAAAAATGATAAGACAGGTTATGCACAATGTTCAGGCTGTATAACATCCTGACTACAATAAGTAATAAGATGAGCTAAAGATGTTTTATGAAATTAATGTATTGAGGTCTATGAAATACAAGATGTCACATGGATTAGCCTAAGATCATTCCAATACATTAGCGGAGGTATTAATGAGAGTTGCACCTTCACAGTCATTGATTGTTTCTAAAAAAGGTTACCTTGAATGAAGTGCTACAGTAAACCAATTAACCAATAATCATAGCCCTTTGTTTGTACTCCCCAGTAAATCTATACTGTCATGTACAGTAATAGTGGATTACAAACATTAGAAAATGACCAGCAAATAACCCATTGGGTTATAGAAATACAGATTTGTTGCATATGACAGAAAATAAGTTAATTGGTTAAAAAGAGAAAAATGTGTTATTAATTTACTTTAATAGACCTCTGAAACCTCTAAAATAGTGTTCTGCTATCTGTCTGTCTGTTTTCCCGTCTGTCAGTATATGTTACCTATCTATGTTTCCATGTTTATTTTTCTCCCATATTTACATTTGATCACTGCTGCACTTCAAGGCATGTAAATGTCATGAAAGCTGTACGAAATGAAATAAAAGTTGTCTAAGTCTAAGTCACTAAACTTCTAGGAGTTTGGGGACAAACTTTGAGAGTTTCTGAAAAAGCCTGTTGGCGAGTGACGTCATTGGTGAATCTCTGAGGATTCCTCTAATCCATCCAGGTAGATTTGGAGGGATCCTTTCACATTTACTTGTTGGTGCAGAGGAATGCACAGGGTCAGATCCAAGAGGCGGGAGACAGGTAGATTTATCAAGGGGACAAACCAGAGAACGGAATCCAAGAGCGGGATCAGAAACAGAGCCAAGTGATCCGAGATACAGAGACAATCCAGAGGGGAATCTGAAAGCGAGGTC